GGAAATTCATTCACAACTGGCACAGACTCAAGTGTAGGTGCCTCAGCATCGGTGTCCGTGACCCAGACCAAATGATAGATACACCCCTTGTTAATCATTTTCGTGGCCTTAAGGCATGAAATAAACATGCCCTTTGGCACCACATTATCCCCCTTCCACTCAACAACTGGCTAATTAGGAAATTCAAGCCTCATAGTTCTAGTTCGGCAATCGATCTTGGTGAAACATGAATAAAGCCAATCCATTCCTATTATTATATCAAAATCAACCATCCCTGATTCGACGAGATCGCCATGGTATACCGACCACGTACCGTGACAACACAATCTCTATAAACCCGCGTGGCCATAGTAGACTTACCAACTGGAGTAGATACAGAGAACGGCCCATGAAGTTGTTCCGCTTCTATCCCAAATTTCCTAGGAACATAAGGGGTAACATAGGACAAGGTGGAGCCGGGATCAATAAGAGCATATTCATCATGAGACTGGACAGTCAGAATACCCGTGACAACATCTAGAGACGCCTCTGCACTATGGCAACCACTCATAGCATAGAAATGGCTGGGTCCTCCCAAACATTGCGCACCACCCCTAGCTGCACCATGCCCTACGAGTGCTGGAGTGCCTCGAGCTGGAGAGGGTGCTGAGGATGTAGCAGCTGTAGGACTGGATGGTTGTGTTGTGCCCCGGCCCTCACCCTGGCGGGATACACGACACTCCCTCTAAATATGGCCTCTCATCCCGCACCCATAGCATATAGGTAAGTCCATGTAACAAATCCCTAAGTGCATCTTCCTATACCTGGGGCATGAGGGCCTCCTCTGCTAGTGGGATCTCCCTCCTGACCGACCCTGCTGGTGGGGTCCCCTGTTGCCCTAACTGGGCCTAAAATGACTCCATTGCTGCTATTGATTGGGCCATGACTCCACTGCACTAGCTGAAGACTGAGCAACAGACTGGGATGGCCCTGATGACCTCCCTAAAGGCTGATCTTCCCCCACCAACTGACTCCCCGAAGTTGCCCGTAGATCAGGCCTTGCTGCTACCCTCTCGCTCCATCTTGTTCTTCAGTTTACGATTCTCTATGGGTTGAGTAAATGCCAACATCTTCCCATAATTCATATCAGAATTCAAGGCAGCTGTAAAAGCCTCATTAATAATGAAAGTAATAAGGCCCTGAACAAACCGACGCACCCTAGCCTCCATAGTGGCCAATATGTGAATAACATACTTGGATAGGCGTGCGAACTCCATGTGGTACTCCCACACACTCTTGCTCCCTTGCTTTAGATTCTCAAACTTAGTTGCATGGGCTGCCTTTGTCTCAGCAGGTAGGAAATGATCCATAAAGGCGTCAGCAAACTCACTCCACCTTGGCGGTTGGCTCCCATCCTCGCGGGAGTCTTCCCACAACTCAAACCAGGAATAGGACACCCCTTTCAAAAGGTAGGCAGCCAACTCCACTCCCTCGGTCTCAGTTGCACGCATAACCCTTAGGGTCTTGTGCATCTCATCAATAAAATCCTGGGGATCCTCCTCGGGATTTGCACCTGTGAACACTAGATGGTCTAGTTGAAGAAATCTATTTACCCTAAAACTGACAGAATTCCCTTGCTGGCTAGAAAAGCTGGGTGCAACATTTGATCTCTAGGCCTGAGAAGCCACTAACTGTGTCAGCATCTGGATACCTCCCCTAAGATCCCCATCAGAAATACCAGAACCGGAAGCTGGGCTGGAGGTGGAACAGGAATATCAGTGGAAGGATCGTTGCACCCTCGGTAGATGTAGGAGCTGGTGCAGTCTGTTCCGATATAGAAGAATCAGGCAATGTAATAGTTGGGGGATTATCCTCACCCACACCATCAAGTAGGAATCAACAGCCACTCATGGGGTTGCATTGGCTTCTTGGCCAATTCTTGCTTTCTTCATAGGTTCCATTTACTGAAAGTTAGATCAATGCACGAGTTAGAGGAGAACAGCCTCGCATTTAGTTCTATCGCACGATATAGATCAACAAGGAAGGATATTATTCCTAAATCTCCAAGTAGCCCCCTAATTATAATTATAGATGTGGTTGACAACACACCAATAAGAAGGGCTCTGCCAGACATGGCTCCGAGACATCCTAGGACACTTTTAAACCTTAGGCTCTGATACCAAGTTTGTCACGCCCCAACCTCGGGGAGCGTGACCAGCGCTCACCCGAGTGAAGCCAGATGAGAAAGCATGTTAGACACTTTCCACCCAACTCACTATGATCAAAAGGAGGTGTATTTTCATTAAGTAAATAATAGGAAAATCATGCAAACATTACTAAATCATTTCAAATTTACTACATCATTGTTAGATTTCCAAAATACATACACATTACGATTTAGTGGAACAAAAGTCCAAAATGCAACATAATTCATTGACCTTTCTAATACCCATATATAACCCACATAGTGTCTCCGGAGCCTCTAAAGATACAAAAGAGAGTACTACAAAAGTGCTGGCAACAAGGCCTCAGCTGTACCTCAAGTACAATACATAAGGAACAAAAGATGTACGACCCCGAAATAAAATGGGGCTTGCCAAGACTGCTGGGAGGAGTATACCGCTAACACCGGTCGATGTCGTTTGTTGTGGAACCACCTGTATCAATTAAAGATATAGTGCCCCCGGCAAAAGGGACGTTAGTACCGTCGAATAGCACTAGTATGTATAACTAAACACTATCTCATTAGAAAGAACAATAATTCAAGAAGGAAGTAATCATCAAATCAATAAAAGCCTTAAACAGCATCACAACACCAAATCAAGGATCACATAAACTTTCAAGTAAATTTCCATAGCTTTAGATTGGGACATTATTAGTATTGATACCTCATCATCCATAATACCACCGTACTTTTATACGGAGACCGATCACGACCTGATCGTCTAGGTCGTCTCATTGGAGACATTCATCACAATCACAATTTCAGTTTCAGCTTCTGTTTCAACTTCCAGTTTTAATTTCCAGTACAATACCACCATGTGTGTGGCATGGCGTCCGATTACAGCCCGATCGGCTAGGCCGTCTCACTCAAGACATTACTATTTTACATCAATCATTTCATTTCATATTTCCCTCACATATTTCAATTTCCTCGACACTAGTGGCCACAATCGTTACAACACACTTGGCACTTGGCCGCATTTCATAATTCAAGTTCTTTCCTACGTTTCACATTATTATCATTTCCAACAAACAAGCCTTTTAATTCAAGAGGTTAAGGACACACGAGATCAATTAAAAATCGTAGGTGTATAAAGGCTTTCACATACTTTGGCATAACAATCTTTATTCAAACTCGACATGAAGTCTAGGCATTTTAGCACATATTCCATATCTTTAACACATCCTCAAATGGCAAGATATCATAATGAGAGTATTGAAATACGTATTGCACATATATTCTTGCAACACAAGCACATTTGGAATAGCAATTTCTACATCGATCAATTTTGGAACTTACACTAATTGCATGGACATCAAGGGGGTTCAATTTCTAAGAAAAGGGGGTTTTAGTCATGCATACCTCAATAAAGCTTCATTAAATCCTACTATATTCCGGAACTCTTAGCATCTTCAATCTATTCTAGCAATATAACAAGTTGAACCAAACATTAGAAAGATGATCATGATTCTAGCTCATATGAGCTCATTATCAAACACTAGGTGTGCATTATATTTGTAAGACCCTTTTGTGAAAGATTCCATCATCCCACACCCCATTCTTTATCATTTTTAACTCACAATCCTCCTACACTCTTTCATCACACATGCATGCAAGATAACAACTCCCTTACCCACAGATGGTTTTGCTAAGTACTCATTTTTAGTGGAATTTCGAAATTAAGAGCTTGGGCATAGATTCTTATCTTTAAGGTGAAGACTTAGTGAATTTCCTTGTTAATCTTCAATGATTTGAGCAAGAATTGATGAGTAATAGGTTGAAGAGCACCTCCCCGCTCTAATCTCTCTCTCTCTCACCATAAAAGTATCAGTTTTTACCAGAAAAATGATCCAAAATGCTTATATAACGAGATTGGGTCGGGTTATAAAAACCCCAATATGAAGCCCCGGAACAGGATCTGCAGTTGTATATGCGACCGCATAATGGTTATGCGGTCCGCAAAATGATCGCAAAAAGTGGCCCTCAGGGACTTGAATTTTCTGCTCCGGTCTGCGACCAATATGCGGTCCGCAGAACCTCCCGTCGCAAAAGTCCAAGGACGATTATGCGACCAAAGTGCGGCCCACGAAATGGTTATGCGGTCGCATAATTGACCGTGAAACTAACCTCAAAATTGGCCAAAAAGACTGCCCCACTCTGCGGCCAAAGTGCGGCCCGCAAAGTGGTTATGCGGCCGCATAATGGGCCGCAGAAACCGTACTTCTGCAAAACATATTCCTTTAACTCTGTAGCGTACTGTTCAATCCAAAAAAGTCCGAACCGCGGCGAATAATGCATAAATCGAACTTGGCACCATAAAATTCCGGGTTTTAGATAAAAAATTTTGGGGCCTTACATGCGCCATGATATCCGGTTGGATGCGGATATCATGGTCCCCTGTTTGTGCAGCTGTTTGCCATGTTTTCCGAGGTCTTGGAGCTCGTTCTGGGTTCGGGGAGTCTTGTCTCATCAGGTTCGATGGTGGGCACTCCGTTCGGGCCTCGATACAAAGAGTTCTCAGCTTCGATTTCGATCTCATATATTCATACTCTTACCTCATTTTTTCCACCGAAAAATCGAGGTATGCGTTAACGCGATTTTACCCATATACAACCATATTAACCTTAATTTTTTTTATTGCAGTTACAACAAATACTCCTAAGCTCTTTACTTCTATGGCAACTTTGGAAAAGAAAATTTATATTTGAAAAAATCAAATATTACGGAGCATGAGAAAAAAGACCATAAAATCCATCCTAGGGAGTACTTATTATGAGTTTAAAAAAATAAAGAAAAAACTAAACTACAGTTTAGTCCAATTCGCTCGGCTTCGTGCTATTGATGGATGTCTGTAGTTTCCATAACCCATTTCTATATTTTGATCGTGACTGAAGAAATGAGCTAATTATCGGTATCATCTTTACTTTACTGATTTCGTGTGTCCTGTGGATCGTATCCTTTCCATACTTCCATTGGCGATTTCACAGATATGTAAGTCATTTCTTTTCTTCTTCTTTGGACTTTCTGGGTCTCTTATGCTTGCAGATTACGCAACTGCGTCTAAAAGTAACATTTGTTGTTTACACTTCATAGAGTGGGAGGAATTCACAAAGCAATTTGATACTTGTTGTTAAAAACATTTTGACTAAAGACAAGATAAATGGAGTCTTGCATAATTTAGGAGACATGTATAATTCACTCTACGGTGTTCTTTGCTTTAATGAACTGGTAATTTTGAAATCTTGCTTGTTATATGATGGGCAAAATTCTGATAGTCAATTAAGTAATTGAAGTTGTATGATAGTTTGAATTCCAGTGTTAATTAAACCTTTGTATATTAAATAAATGGATGAGCTTGTGGGAAGACAACTTATTATGGTTAATACTCTTAGTATCCTTATAAAATTTGTCTTTCCCTCTATCCCTTGCTTGTTCCTGCAACTTAGCTACTACTATTTTGGTGTGTTTCTGTATTCTTGGGTTGATATGTGGAGCAATTGTTAGGGGTTGTTTGGTTTAAAAGCGAGCTGTCCGGGGATTAGTAATACACGAATTGTGATATAAGATTAGTAATGCATGGATTAGTAATACATGGAGTGCAATGTAGGGATTACTTATTATTGAATGTTTGGTTTGTTGTGTTAAAAGTTATTATACCATGTATAGTTCAAAATATGTTTTTATTCTTTTAGCAAAATAAAATATTGATACTATATTGACGGGTTATTTTGTTATTTGGTGGTTTCCATGTATTCCTCATTATGTCCTGCATAAATAATACACTGATTACAGTATAACTTATATGGGTATTAATTATGGAAAAACTAAAAATGGAATCAAATATTCTATTGAATAATGCTAAGTTTTATGTGAAAAAGATAAACGAAACCAAATATTATATTAATAAATATTGAAATTTGTGCGTGGATTATTCTTACCACTAGTCCCAACCAGACTACCTTCCCCGGACCCCGCTTGTGGGAAAAACACTGGGTTTTTTTGTTGTTGTTGTTGTTGTTGTTGTTGTTGTTGTTGTGGTGGTGGTGGTGGTCCCAACCAAATGGCGCTTCGTTCATTTTCCAATTGCAGGATAAAAATAACAAAAAGTTTGTAAAACATGTCTTACTATTTTAGTGTATTTAATCTTGAGCTACTCGTTTGCATGCCCTCTCAACTAGACTCGTGATCCTAGTTTTTCAGGCATGCCTTTGAGGAACATCCTAGTAATATCATAATTGCGAATTCAGAAGGTTTTCTGTTAACTTAATATCAACAGACACTGTTCGTGTTGCAAACTCCTTATGCTGAGAAGAAAATAGCTGACTTGTGATTTTCTTGTGCTTCTGCTGTTCATGAAAGTGAATAAAGGTGGTATGAGCGAGGGCTACTCTTCGCAGGGCTATAGGCTAAGGAAGCCAGAGAGTAATAGAGGGCACTACCATAAGGATGTCATGCCAGGGAGTGAGCTCTGGACTGATGGTCTTATTTGTGCTTTCGAGTTTGTTAGTGGACAGAAAAAAATTGGATCAAAATCTTCTACAAAGGGTTTACCACTTTATGAAATAGATAATGAAATTGTTAGAAAGCCTTCTAAAGCGGCCGAGGCTTCTGCTGAGAGCACCAACGGGGACAGTTTGCTGGATTCTACCCCTATTGTTGAGTCGAGAGCACAGGAAATTTCTCCAGCTGATGGCAAGATGGACAGCCAAAGCTCTCCCCACCAGCATCTTCATAATTTGGATAGAGTTGGAGGGAGCCGTTGGATTCCTATTGGTTGGGCTAGGATTTTTGAACTGGTGCAAACTGTTCAAGCGGATGCTGGATGGTCCACCCAGCAGTTTGATCTCATGGATGATGAAGATGGCCTCACTGTTGCGGATTTAGCCGCTCCCTATTGGGAGCGTCCAGCTGGACCTATATGGTGGTGCCATGTGACTGCTGGTCATCCTTCTGTAGATGCATGGCTCAGCCATGCCCTGTGGTTACATCCTGCAATTAGTATTGCTTTAAGAGATGAAGGTCGGCTAATAAGTGAAAAAATGAAACACCTCTTGTACGAGGTACTCTACTCGCTTACTTTTTTTTTTCCGTTGATGTCTGCGCATTCTTGACCTGTTTGACATTTAGTTCTTGACCTGTTTGACATTTAGTAGTTTATCTGTTGCTTAACATGTGAAATATATTTATATATACTAGTCTTTAGGTACGCGCATTGCTCGTGTATAGTATCTCAATGAGTACAACTTTTTAAAAAAATTGCATAAATGTTTTATGAAAATTTGTGTTTGAGTAATAAAAGAGAAGTGTATGTTCATGAAAAAAAATGAATATTGATCTTATATCGCTAACTTGATAAAGGAAATTATAATATAGAAGTCCTTAATCATCCGTCGAGATGTTCAACTTAGAATTTGTTTCAGTTTCATAATTTTATCACTTTAATTTCTCAGACTATTATGCTTCCTTTTCAGTTTCAACAACAACAAATTATCCTTGAGGATTTAAGATGAAATAAATTTAATGTATGTTTTGAAGTATTGGCTTAGAAGAAGCTTCCCTGGGAATCTGACATTACAAAAACACTAATTATTAGTCTAAAATAAAATATTTACTATCCAAAAAACTTATTTACCATCTCAATTTAAGATTCCTTTTTTGTTAAAAGAAGAAAGAAAATAGGAAAGGTTGAAAGAGATGTTCAAATTGAAATAAAACAAATACGATGGTTTTTCTATCTTAATAATTTTCTTGAATATAGATCAATTCACAGTAAGTTTAATTAATAAAATTAAAGGAGAAAACCTTACTATACATTTTGTTAAACAAATTGTACTGTCAACAAACCTCACTGTGTCCTTTATATCACTATCATATTGAATTTAAGTTCTATGCACTGCTGTAGAAAGTATTTACCCAACCATGTAACTTATAAGATAATTACAGGTAATCTCTTCATATAACATTGTAATATATTAAAAATGGTACCTAACAACTATCACGTGTTACAATTCACTGATATTATAAAAAGAATTCGAAAATTATACAACTTAAATCCATATCACGATCACCAATGCATTAAATCCTTATAGATGTCATATATTTATTGGTTACAATGGTCAATTGTATTAAGTTTTAACTAATGAATTTATTGATAATCTAATTAAGTTAGTTTAAAACGATTAAATTAACTTTAACAAAGTAAGAAAAAGAAAAAGATAAACTTGGGAAGAAGTAATAATCTCACTACATTTCATTCAGCAAATTAAAGGGACCTATAAGGAAATAAAGCTCTTTTATATTAAAATTCTAAATATTAGGACTGTCTACCTAGTTCAAATAAGGAATGATTTAACAAGTAGAATTTTTATTGTTTTCAAAGTCCTCATAATAATTAAATGACAATGTTGTCCCATGTGAATTCTGCTTGTTTCTACTGTTTCTTTCCATTTTTCTTGAGCCGAGGGTCTATCAGAAACAACCTCTCTACCCTCCCAGGGTAGGGGTAAGGTCTGCGTACACACTATCCTCCTCAAACCTCAATTGTGGGACTTTTTGTTGTTGTTGTCCCTTGTGAATTCTATTTTTAAGGATAAAAAAACGAACAATATTTCGGTACGGGCGTTCGCGCTTTTAATATAACTAGTCTCATGGTACACGCTTTGCGCGTGAATTCTATACCAATAAGCATATAAGTTTTTAAAAAATTATATATATTATTATTAAATAATGTCTTTGTGCTATAAAATACAATACAAATTAAAGAAAAAAGTGTAAATTCTTAGAAAGATAATGTTGATTTATTTAGGTAGTTGAATATAGGAAGAAATTATGCCCATGATAGTAATTATATGACTTATTTTGATTTCTCAAAACCTTTGTGGTAATATCTAGGAAAAGTTATTGTTATTCTTATAACCTAATAATACGAAAAGATTATCTATTTATACTTTCAACAAATTTTATATTGTAATTTAAAAAATATTTCATTAATTGACAAGCATAACTCAAATGGTGTTTGAGTGGGCAAGGAGTGAAGAAAGAAAGAAAGACTTTTGTATGGCTATAAATCATTTCACAAGGGTAAAATGGAAAATTTAAAATTAAATTGTTTCTAAATATAGAAAGGTGTCATTCTTTTTTGGATAGACTAAAAGGAAATACATTGGAACGGAGGGGGTAAGAGCGTGTTAAAAAGTGTAAAAGTTTCTAACCGTGATAAACTTTTTTATATTACAGCTGCAGTTTTCTTTTTCAATTACTTGTGAATTTCATTTGGAGAAATATATCTGCTTATAAGATAGTGCAGTAATTTGATTGTCTTAACATGTTTCACTTGGTGGCTAAGAAAATTGATTGAATCAACAGTAATCTGATATAAATTTTGTTTATAGAGAATGATCATGTTCTCATGATATTTTATCATAGGTGGTTGTAGATGGGTAGACCGGTGTTTTGTTAATGACTATTAGTTCTGGCACCAATTTTATATCCCAAGGCAATCATATTTTTTTCTATGGAAGTTGATAATCTTTGAACTGCTACTGAGGTGAATGATTCTGTACTTTGATAAATATACTATCCCCATCTTCATTTCATCCTTGAGATTGAAAACTTACTATTACATATGGATTATCTCAACAACCTGCTTCAGAAGTGACTATTGTAATTAGTGGGTTTAACATATTTGCTTCTAACCATCTTGGATCTTCTTAATTTATCAACTGTCTGTGATGTTCCTTTTCTATTAGATTAATGTAACAGTTTTAGTTATAATGTTTGGACTTGCAAAAGTAATATTCTAACAACATTTACAATTTTTTCTGCTTCATGCCTTCTCTTCTTGTCATTGTGAATTGAGGAGGTAAAGAGATAATAATCTTATCTGTATCAGTGACAACCTCATATCATAATATAAAAGAGCTAAAATGAAAGGGATTGCCTTCTTTCTGCTGTAAGAAATGAAGATCATATTGTCATTTTCACAGAAGTTGGATTTTATTAGGTCCCAGTAAGGGTGGCTGGAGGGCTATTATTTGAGCTGTTGGGGCAATCTGCTGGTGATCCATATGTTGATGAAGATGACATCCCTGTTGTAACTCGTTCTTGGCAAGCACAGAACTTTTTAGTTACGGTTTTGCACGTGAAAGGATCAGCAAAAAGCATCAATGTTTTGGGTATCACAGAAGTTCAGGTTGTCCTTTCTATGGATGCTAAACATTGCCCTTTCTCACAACTTATGTGTTGGTCCATCTGGTCGTTTATGCTTATTCAGCTTTACATCCTTCTTATCTCAATTTGACTTCTAGTTTTTGGTTGCAGAAGTATTTGTATCTGACTCTTAACATTTTGGCTCATATAATCTGTTGATTTCTTCACTATAGGAACTTCTTCTTGCTGGTGGCTATAATGCACCAAGGACAGTACATGAAGTCATTGCGCATTTAGCTAGCCGCCTTGCTAGGTGGGATGACAGGTAAGAAAACTGCTTTTTCATTCGAAATTGGTGAACTGTGTGGTCTTGTAGAACTAGTTGGTAGTAGAAAACATTTGAAGCCTAACTTCAGTGGACGCTTTTCTGCAATGCCCCAGCGTCCAATATCAAATTGTTCTTGTGTAGGAAGAGACTCATCGAGCTGTTAACATATTAAGTATGCAAACACTTTCTGTTGAGTATGCAATCCTTTTGCTATGGATGTTCTTTATTTTGTACTATTATAGAAACGCATCTGCAAAGGGCCTCACTGTTTGAGCCAAATCTATTTAGAGGGGTTGGCTTCAGAAAACATTGCAATTTGATGTTGCAAGATTCACCTTACAAATTTTGTTACCTTCTAATAAAATATGAGACTAGAATTACCATTATATGCAACTACCAAATTGCTAGCTACAGTGAGAAACTTTCTGTTCATGTAAGGTTCATTCATCTAAGGTCAAATGAGAAGTTGTTAATTCTGATATGGAAGTAATTGCTTGGTTTTTGTAACTATATAGGGTTTCAAAAATGCAGTTAGCATCTTCAGGCTCATGAAATTGGCACATGCACGATTGCATTCTGTTGAAAACTTAATTTAGTAAATCAAAGTGTGCTCTCTAACAGCTTAAACATTTTAGATGACATGGTCACACACTTCAACATGATATTAGAGCAGGTAGAGTGCCTCTGCTCGAGTCTTACCGCCATCCATTATCAAAGAATTTCCATGTGCTTGACCCATTAAAAAGTATCAGGCCTGCACGTGAGAAGGAGTGTTGGAGATATAATAAGTAAATAAAAATGTAGTGGCCTCTCTCTAACAACTTATACTTTAGATGAGATGGTCACACACTTCAACACACTCCTTCTCTTAAGGTCCAATATATATGCTTGATTTCCGCTAACATGGCAATTTTATGCTCACTTATGCTGGTCAATTACTTTAAAAGGTGTATTCAGTTCACTTATCGTCTTCTACTTCACTCTCTATTCCAAAGAGAACAGGAACTTCTTAAGCCTAGTAGCCATCTCTTTCTCTCTTGCCCCTTAGACTAAAGAGGTCCAATTGCTGCCACATTCACCTAAGCAGCATCACCATATTACTCAACCCCGTAAGACAACGTCATTTCACCATTGCCGTAAGTGCTATTATCCTGCTAAAAGTTTGCTCCAGTAAATCGGATTTGCCAAAGGGTACACCTTGTTTTCATTGTGTCAGCATGAGGACACTAAAAATTGTATTTCAATCAATGTGGATGAATTTATCCCTGTTGTCTGCTTCATGCTTTACTCTTCATACTCTCATAGGAGGTAGTGAAGTGTTTAGTAAGTGATTTTTGTTTGGGGGATGGGGGTGGTGAAAGTGATGGGTGATAGTGATTTTTGTCACTTAAAGTCAATGGTGTTATATTCCCGTGGAGAAAAAATCAATGGTGTTGTACTAGTGAGCTGAAAGAGGGGTGAGGACAGTGCAGTTATGTCATTTTCGACGGAAATTTAAGTGTTTGTTCTGTCTTATCCCAATAATTTTAGCAAACTACGGTGTAAACTTGTTTATTTGTCAGTGAACTAACAGAAGGGTCCTTAAATGCAAGTTTTACAGAATTTTGGATAATTAACTGACATGTAACGGTTCTAAGCATCAGAGTGAAGAAAAACCATGACACAACAGATGTTTATTATCGAGTAATCCTAACCTAATTCTTTTTTCGTGCTTATCCGAAGGTTATTTCGGAAATCGATATTTGGTGGAGCGGATGAAGTGGAATTGAAGTTTGTTAACAGGTAAAAGAGTTTCATGTCATAGTTTCGCTTCCTGGAAGCGATTACTCTTTCATGTCGCATATTCTGTTATAAATAAGTTTTCTTTTCTTTTAATAGGAGGAACAAGGAAGATCTGAATCTCTTAGTAATAATTCTCAACCAGGAAATCAGAAGATTATCAAGACAGGTCTACCTTGTTCCCTGATTGAATTTCTTACTTTCCCAAATCTTTCTATATCAAATAGGGAGTATCAATCATGACAACTTATTGCATATTATTGGTCATATCTTGGTAATTCTGGATTAGCTTTGAAGCATGCTATTCTTTCCTTGCATCATGAAAATTCCTTCCGGGTCAAGAAATATGACCTACACTAGCATTTTATCTTGTTATAGATGAATCACCTAATAGTGTTGGACTGGTTGCTGTGTCATATTCCCTTTAGACGCCAATAGAAGAAGATGAACCTGCCATCATAATGAAATATCAAACAAAAGAGAGATTTCTGTGGTTTTCAGAATTTCTAACAGCTTATCGTAGTAAATTGACTCAAGTATAGAAAATCTGGGTTCTTCAGCTGAATTTACTGAGAGAAGTGCACAAAATTTACTAGTAGCAAGTCACAGTATATATTACTTAAGCTGCTTATCTATCCTATGGGTCTTGCCATAGGATTACACCGCCTAAGATGACCATTCAGCTTTTTCTTCAATCATATCCATTGGAAGGTATTTGTTTACATTGCGAACTTTATTGCAGCTACTCCAATATATTCTTATCATGTTTGTCAATTATTATTTGCTTTTCAAGTTTCCTATTTGAAGGAGGTGCTGTGGTTGGGAACAAGATCCCAGTTCAAGAAGTAAAACTGACTTCACCTTTTCCAATTCTATAAATCCTATGGATCGGGACATTATATCCAAAAAGTGAAATTTTGAAGAACCCTTCTTGAGTATCTATTATTAAGTATCAGGGGGTTGGTGGTATTAAATAGCGGAGAGCCGGTGACAGTAAAAGTTCTGTGTTTAGGCTCTTCAAACTTTTACCTTGGGTAGCATTTACATGAATTTTAAGTTCTTCAGGACTTTTTGATCTTGTGCTGATAATCACTTTCCTGGGAGTATGCTATTCGCCAAAACATGTTAAGTACATTTTAACCCTGTTAGACCTTCGTGTTGGGGATGGAGTCGACTGATATCACTTCAAAATGCAATATTTATTCACCATATCATGTATTTCAAATTCCAATGTTGGCAACATAATATAGGCCGTTTATCCTTGTCTTTTGCATGCTTTGTTGAATGTTCAAGTATGAGAACTGTTCTCGAGTGATACTGGTTATGTAGTGTAACGCAGGTTATTAGAGTGAAATGGTCACTTCATGCTAGGGAAGAGATTGTTTTTGAACTTCTTCAGCATTTGAGAGGAAATACAACTAGAATTCTACTTGAAGGAATAAGAAAGAGTACGAGGGAAATGATTGAAGAGCAAGAAGCAGTTCGTGGACGCATATTTACAATTCAAGATGTCATGCAGAGCAATCTCCGTGCATGGTTGCAGGTTTGTTTGATGTTCAATCGACTAGGGTTCCACTTCATTCTAATACCAGATGATTAAACTTCATTTCACTAAGGCCTTTCCTTAAGAGTTCTCTCAACATCTAATGTAATGTTTTCGGACATTGTTCCAATTTCAGGATAAGAGTCTCAGAGTTTCTCATAATTTAGCTGTCTTTGGTGGATGTGGCCTTGTTCTTACGATCATCACCGGTCTTTTTGGAATCAATGTGGACGGGATCCCTGGAGCTGCGAACACGCCTTATGCGTTCGGTCTATTCTCAGTCCTCCTTGTCGTCCTAGGCATCGTGCTCATTGCTGTTGGCTTGCTATACCTCGGGTTAAAAAAGCCGATCAGTGAAGAGCAGGTCGAAATTAGGAAACTTGAGTTGCAGGAGTTGGTCAACATGTTCCAACATGAGGCTGAGACTCACGCACAGGTTCATAAGCATATTTCTCGGCATAACTTGCCCCCGACAGCTGGTGATAAGTTGATCGAAGACACAAATTATGCTCTTATCCAATAATTTCAACACCTCAAAACCATTCATTAGTTAAATAACTGCAGTAGTAGGATAATTAAGACACCAGTGGTCAAGGACTCCTAGCGCGCGCTCGAGTGTATTGGTGCCTGTTTACTTGTAAAAGATATTCCCAACTCTTCTTGTCAATCATCAGAGGTAATACCAATAGCAGTTTTCCTTACTGTACTGTACTTGTCTTCTCTGCGCTTCTCCATCAAGGTACCTTATGGATCTTTGACCTAGAGCTGTTTAATGTTTAATTTCTTGAGTGACTTTCAATTCATTTCAGATTTGGTTAATTAAATAGTTGAACCAGGCAAGAAGATGAATGATCAATTCTAGCTCAAATTGACTAGTGCAAGCCTTTTTTAATATGGAATGTACAAAAAAAATCATAACCGAACGGACTCATTTCACCGGTCGTAATCACAATCTTCCTTATATCACCTCGTGAGCATTGCATTTATTTTGAAAATATTTTTCCCGAAATAGCTACACACGTTTTAGCCCCCTTATCTCACAGCATGGCTTCAAGTAATTCTCATACTAGTAACATGCGTATAAATCTCACCTTATCTCACCACATGCCTATCAACCCCTATCCTTATACCATCGCATGTGTATCAATATCACAACACAATAATCAACTCGCACCACACGTGCCCATATGCCACAACACTTGCCAAAAATCAACAATACCAATGTTACTACAACATATAGCCTACGACTCAACCACAATATGAGTAAGAATCTCAATAATAACAAAATAAATGAGAAATACTCAATGAGAAAAGATATCTTAATAATAAACAACTTCAAACAAGAATATTGCAACAATAAAAGAGGTTACAAGACAATAAGAGAGGTAACAACTTCAACTAAAACATATAAGAGCAAACTTGACAATAAAAGATAGAACATGTGCTAACAACGTCAAATATAGAGCATGTGAGAGTAAATTTAACCATGGAAGATATAATATGTTATGACAATTTCAATTAAATGCATGGAAGAAGCCTAAGAGTCTAAAACGGTCAAAATACCACATATAAGCCTGTGTACATACTCGTCATCTCGTGTACACGTCTTCCACATAATTCAAATAACACAATCAACCCAGATCCTAAGGGTAGTTCCCTTTTCCCCCCAAGGGTAGATCTTGACTACCCGTAACCCCACAAGTCTATATATGTGTTTGTTTTCAAATTCGAGTCCAATTCGACTCTCAAATATCAAAGTTTCATTTTTCAAAACTTAGACAAAAATTCCCAAAATTTCTCTTTGATTCTCATAAATCTGATGTTAAATCTCATATATAATCATGAAATATAGTTGGAAAATAATTAAAACTATTTAACCAATGATTGCTGGTGAAAATCCCCTCTCCGAATCACCTCTTACCGAGTCTATGGTTCTAAAATAAGGAAAATGAGATGAAATCCTGACTTTTCAGCCTTTTGTTCAGTTGCAGATGTCACAATTGCGACACTGGGTTCGCAATTGTGAACCCTCGCAATTGCAAAGAAAGTCTCGCAATTATGGCTACTAACAACCTAAGGGGAAAGTCACAAATGCGATACTGGCTTCTTATTTGCGAAGCCTGTTCCAATCGCAAATGCGACGAAATATTGCTAATGCGATACTACCCAGCCCAGGTACTACTTTGCAATTGCGATCCAGGCATCGCAAAATGCGACACCTGAGATCCCCTACTAAGATCGCAATTGCGATGCTGGTGTTCGCAATTGCGACACCTAAGGCATCAACGCACCAACAATCCTAATTTAGTTCAAAACTATTCTGAAACACATCTGAAACTCTTCCGAGCCCTTGGGGCTCCAAACTGAATATCCACATAAGTCTAACAACATCATACGAACTCGCTCGCACAATGAAAACACAAAAATAACATCTAGAACTATGAATTGGACATCAAAACGTGTGAATTTCAAAAGAAAACTCAAGAACCTCAAGAATTGCAACCAAACGTCTGAATCCTATCAATCCAAATTCATATGACACCAAATTTTGCAGGCAAGTTACAAGTAGAAAAATGGACCTATTCCAAGTCCAAAACCAGATTCTGAACCCAATAGCCACAAAGTCAACCTATAGTCAAACTTAGTGAAACTTCTAAACCTCAAATTGCCAACTTCCGGCAAAACAAGTCAAATCAACCTAGACACCTCCGAATTAAATTCTGGGCATACACCATAGTACAAAATTACAATACGAAGCTATCAAAACACCATTCCGGGATTCTTTTCACAAAAGTCAAACTTTAGTCAACATTTTCAACTTAGGCTTTAAACCAAGAAACAAAGGGTCAAGATTAACCCAAAACTTTTCCGGAACGAAATTAACCAATCTCGCAAGCCATAAAGGAAAAATACACGTGTAAAACTTCAAAAGGGGAAACGAGACTCAAATACACAAAACGACCGGTCGAATCGTTATAATATGTCTATTACTCAATATAGTTTTCTGATTATGATTCATCTAAAATATTAATATTTTAAACCCCAACTTGTGTTAAAGCTGAGGTTTTGTTGCAGGTGTAACAAATAATGCAAATATTTACCAATACAGTGGGTGAAGCAGTTGGGGGGCATTTGCATCTATATTTTATTTTGGGGTTACCATTGAACTTATATCCACTTTGCACAAAAATTTGCAAGTCTACCCACTTTTGAAGAAAAAAAGTCTGAAGTGAAATGCACTTAAAGCCAATTAATTCTAAAGTGCAAAAATTACACTTAAGATGCACTTAAGGCCAAATAGTTCTGAAGTGCAAGGTCTGAAGTGAAACTTTGCACTTACGACAAGTAGGTCTGAAGTGCAACATATGTTTTCATACACTTAAGGCCAAATAGGTCTGAAGTGAAAAATTTACATTTGAGGCCAAATAGGTTGAAGTGCATCAAATATTTTCATGCACTTAAGGCCAAATAAGTCTAAAGTGCAAGTTGCCCAAAAACAGAAATTTATTTTTCAAATTTCAATAATTCAATACACGATTCAATATCTAATCTACTCCAAACTATCTCAAATTTAAAACATAACATTCAATTATCATAAAGAAGAAACACAATCATAAATTTGTCAAAAAAAAAATCTAACAGACCCATTTTGCAATTATGAAGAAGGAGATGAAGAAGCCCTAAGCAATTGCAAAGAAAGGAGCGCTGCAGCAACTCACTACTGTAAAACACCATAAACTACCTTAAAACTTGCTCACAAATACTATGTAAATTCTCCTTCACCTTTGTTTCCAAAGTAGCTAAGAAGAAGGAGGATGAGGAGGAGGAAAAAACTTGAAGTTACATGTACTTTGGATACTAATTAAATTTTTTTTTTAAAAAGAGGGTACATGTCAAATGGGGGCGGCCAAATAAGGCGCCCCATAAAATTATTACAGCAATTGAAAATAAATTGGAGTTATTTTCACCTCAAGTAGTAGATAAATATCTCTCACATGCAATGAGATAGTTTTATGTAAAATTGACGTATTTTCCTTAATCAAACTGCTCTTTGATCTCTTTAATTGAAAATAAGTTTCAAGAAATTAGTACTCTTACGATGTTGATGTAATAGTCAATTAAAATAAAGTAAAGTGATTTTCTTTGTGGAGTCTTTCTATTTGTTTATTGTTATAGCTTATTTCTATTTTTTTTGCTGTTTTTCCCTTCTATATCTGCTATTCCTTCTGCCTTCACTTTCCATTCTTTCCTGCTTAATTAGATTAATTAAAATATTATATCAAGGAAAGGTGACATAATCTATCTTTAAACCAGAAAATACAATTATGTTTTTNATATATATTGTTTAAGTAAATTATCTCAATAATGTCTTGCGTCTTTTTTATTCCTCGATTTTATTATATTCTTTAAACCATTTCGTTTATAAACTCAAACTATCATCTTCTTAAATTTTCTTATAATGTTTCATACATTCCCCTTTTCCCATAATTGCTTATTAATTAGATATTTATCATTTTTCTTAGTAATTGCGTGATACCCAAAATCATTCTTTTTTCATTTTTAACTTTCTTTCTCCTCATTAGAGCTCAAAGTCTCTAACTACATTTATTAATGAATATTACTATTATTATTATTATACTAGTAAATTTGCACGCGCTTCGCGCGATCGTAAATTAAAATAGAAAATGATTAAATAATTAAGAACATAAAAGAACTCAATCAATCTCTACTAATCAAACATTTTTTTTCATGTTTTTACCATAAACTATTACAATGATCACAATTGGTTAAGTAAAAAAGTTTAAAATTTTTATGCATTAAGTTTTTTTTACTAACTCGAAAGTGAAACAAAATTTAAGTTACAACACCTCTATTATCGTCTAAATAAACCTCCATATTATCATACGATTTAAGAAACAAAAATATTGAAATACAATTTTTAGAAGTGGATTTTTAAAAAGTACTATATTGATGAAAAGGCTCTAAGGAATCAAAAAGGAAATAACGGTTTGAGAATTTATGCACAAACTTAAAAAGGGATAGGGAGGGAAGAAAGAGAGAACAATAATGAAGAGTAAAAATTGTCTTCCTGTAAAAATTGAAATAGGACAGGGGAAAAGAAAATGATGATAAGAAAATTTTTACATATGAATAATGAAGGGTAAAATTTGTCTTTTAACTGTCATATCAAATATTTTGTGCTTCTGTTTCTGTTGTTGGTGTTCTTCCACTTTGACTAATATGGCTTTACTATTCTTAACTTCTGTTTTAGGAGGAACAACAACTTTTATGGTGCCGGTTTCTCGTCATTCTCAGCTTCGGCTTCAACCACTATTTCCTTCTCCTTCTTTGCTTCAGTTGTGCCCGCTTGATTGGTTGCTCAATTCAGCAACAACCAGGACTTCCATCTTCTTAATAAAGCCTCAAAATTCAGCCGGCGAAAGTCTGCAACACCCACCTATTTAACGAATCAATCAGTCCTCACATATTGATAAACTTTCTTTAGTGTATAACCACCAGATTAAAGTACTAAAATTATGCTAGGATAAAAAGGCAAGCAAACTTATTCAGTCTCAAGTCTCAGAAATAAAATTATTTTAAATAGATTCAAAACTAGGCTTGATTGTCCAGGACAATCTCCAGCATTAATAAGTGGAGCACTGTGTACTGCTCTTCTAGCAGCAGCACTTCAAAGTATCTCAAAACAAAAGTAATTCTACTATATATAACCAAACTCCAATATAAACAAAGTCCCCAAAATAGCTAACAGATATAACCAAATTCCCAAAAGCAATAGAGTCCTTAGTTATTAGGCCAGAATCTTGAAAATTCAAAGAGATATAACTGTATATAAGCTACTTCTTAACTATGCCGATTAGGTAAAGGAGTTGAACATTTATCTTTAATAGTCACTCGACCAATGAATTCATCCATATCCAGACTATGGAAAAATAATGGATAGAACTGAAAAGTAAATTGATGCTTGTTGAGCAATTGATTATACCCAATGCACTAACCAAATTCAGTAGTTCCTTTTCAATCTAAAATGTAAAAAAAATCTTGATTATATAGCCTCATGAGGAAAATTAGATAGGAACATTCAATTAAGAAAAGTCATACTAAATGAGTTGGTATATTCTAACTAATGCAGCTAGAATATAAATTAGAACAAAATGTTGAAAGACAGAGATGAGAACAAAAACATGTACATAGCAAAGCCAATAAGATGATATGCTATTTGATGGTGGTGAGATGTTTTATGAAACTGATTGAATAATGTATTTTGCGACCTTTCTATTAAGGCTTATATATTGCTTCTGACAATCGTAAAAAACCTACGACTCTACACTTTTTAAGTATAATCATCTATTATCTTTGGAACCTCTCTGAATCTTTTTCACCCACTACCTCTCACATCCTCCTGGCACTCTGTCTCCTTCTTTCTTTTTCCCTTCCACTTCATCTATTTTTTTCAATTTTCTTTCTTCATCCAACTTTGCTACAATTAGTTACTATTTGAATTTTTGGCTCGAAGAACAGAAGGTAAAGAGGAAGATTATTCTTAACTGGTGATTCTTTCTTGTAAACAATCAAACAAAGTAACTTCGTTGTCACAGTTTTTTATTTTTAAGTCTTTTTCTCTTAAACGTAAATCAGACTCTCAAGAAAAATACTGTGAAAGCTAAATGGAAAGGAAGAAGGAGAGGATACAAAGTTTCGCCCGAATCCCTATCCTTGACCTCATACATGCCACTAATCACGCTTTCTAGACAAACACGATAACATCCAAATGGAATAGAAAAAGAAGATTAAACAGTTTCATCCAAATTCCCAAGCTGGGAGACTTGTAGTCGTACACTGCCAAAAACTAACGTAAAAAAAAAAAGGGAAAAAAGGATTTAATACAGAGACGCATGGAATTAACCACCGACAAACAAGAAGAATTTGTACCAGCCAATATTTCCCATAACCGGAGATTGCTTCTTCTCTATAGATTTCCTCTGCCGTGTCAGACATTACGTGTCCCCTTTATATGAAAGGATGCATGGTCTCGCCTAAGATCACAGAGAGGTTAGAAGATTCGCGACATATTTTAAAAATAGATAGAGCATCCTTAATGCATCCTTAATGCATCCTTACATATATATGCACAAATAGTCTGATAATGTAACAAAGTAAAGAGGGAAGACAAAGTAAAGTATACATCATTTTCCCCGAAAAACAATGCAAAAGATGGTAACATATGCTCCACATATTGTTCATCTTCAATTGGGTGCGCTCCTTATAATCTCGTTCTCTGCTCGTTCAATAGCTGAAGAAAATTAATTACTGTCAATTTTCAAATCTTCCATGTGCAAAGAATGTAATTTATGTTTATTCCATTCAAGATTAAAGGAATCTCGCAAAAATGGGCCAAAAAAATAACCAAGAAATGTAAATTTGGTTGGTACAAGTTACCTGAAATAAAGAAAGAATGGAGAACGTAGAATATGAATACCGAAAAATGGTATAAGTAGAAAGAGGAGATTTACCTTGCGCTGTGTAATCCTTATTGGGGATGAAGCCCTAATCCTCCGTGGAGAAAGCAATCCATGTTCTTTATCCTCTGTCTAGGGGATTAATCCATACCCTAATACCTCCGCCAGATGAGAAATTCTTGTTCATTAGGAGTTGTAAAAGTGGTGTGAGAGGGAGGCGTTGTGACTGAAGAAGAATGGAATAGATAATTGGAAGAAATAAGTTAGAAGATGAAGAGACGCATTCATTAGGATAAGTAAAAGTTGCTTTCAAAAGTTTAAAGAATCCGGGGAAAAAGTCTGCAAGATCAGGGGAAAAAAGATAAATGATATTTTTGCACAATGAGAGATGACACGTAACCGTGCTTGTGGCCCTCTCTCTATATATATATAGATTATTATAACAAATAATATATTATTTGTAAACAACACTTAAACGAAAAGTAACGCAAGAGAATTTAGCGCTGCATTTTTCTTTCTATCGAGAATTCTCATATTCTCTTCTCTAATGTTTATATGAATTTGATTAAAATTCAAGAAGTGCACATATTTTATGACTATTCTTTATCACCTATGTTAAATAAATTTCATATGTTAGAATATATTTATTTAGTGTATAAACATAACCTATTGAAAGAGTTTGGAAACATCAACAACATTGCTAAGCCAATACTCAGTTATTTTACAGTAATGCAAGTAATATGTCATGACCCAATTTTACTATAGGTCGTGATGGCGCCCAACATCGTTGTTAGGCAAGCAAACGCTGAACAATCTAGTGGTTTCCCGTTTTTAAAAAGTTTACTAAGTAAATAACTTTCCTCAATTTAAAAGATTTAGGAAATGACATATGTAAAATAATAAAATGAAAGCAACTGAATGCAATCATAATCATAGAAATGAACCCCAAATCATAAGTCTACTAGTGTGTGCCAAGACTTGATGCCACAAGTATATAAGCATTCTAGTAGAATATACAAAAGAATAATAGTCCACTGTTTGAAGTGAAATAGACAGAAAAATATAAGCAAAAGAAAGACTCCAGCTGCTGCAGAACGGCTCGGAAGACAGCTCATCGTGAAGTCTCGAAGTGGTAATCAAGTGTGTGCACCGGACTGATATCCAGATGCACCTGCCTCGGATCCTGCACATGTAAGTATGGAAGTGTAGCGTGAGTACATAAACAACATGTACCCAGTAAGTATCTAGTCTAACCTCGAAGAAGCAGTGACGAGGGGTCGATTCCAACACTTACTAAGGGCCAACAATATAATAATATGAAATTCTAATTAAACATGATAGATAGAAATAACAATAAAACTCAAATTAAGAAATAAATGAACAATCCTTTTACCATTAATAAGAACCGAGTCATTTCCCTCATTTAAAACAAGTAATTTCTCAAGCTAATGAATTAATATCAAATATAAAGGGACTTCCAGTTTTATTATCACGTACGAATTATGCCGAGGACGTATGACCCGATCCAAATATACATATACATAACTGTGTGCACTGTCGAGGGTCGAATGACACGAACCATAGATGCATCTATTAACCTGCCTAGGCGAACGACCTGCTCCCATGAGAGTAGTGGAAAAGTTATTCCATTCGCAGAAAATACTTGCGGTGCGGTTGAATATAAATTTCTCAAGTTACCATAATATCCTTAATTTTTCCAAAAAAAAGAATTTCAACTTGAAACTTTTGAAATCTTAAAATCCTCAACTTAGTCCTATTCGATACAATTAACAAATATAATCAAATAACAGTGTCAATAAAGCATGGTGTAAACCTAACACTACCCGGATATAAGCATGAATAGTAGCTACATACGGACTCTAGTCACCTCGTGCGTACGTAGCCCCCACAAATAGCAGCACATATTAATTTAGTTCATCTATGGGGTTAATTCCCTCTTACAATATTAGAAAAGAGACTTACCTCGTCCCAAGGTATACTTTCCGATCCAAGGTTGTGCTCAAACCCTCAAATTCAGTGCCGAACAATCCAATACTAATCAATACATGTTCAAAAGTCCATATTCCAACTATTGTTGTGATTACCCAACCTTAAATGCAAGATTTCTAAAATTCCCCTCCCCCCTCTGGGCCCACATGCTCGGATTCCGGAAATTTTTGAAGAAAGTTGTTACCCATAACCTCACGAACTCAAATATATAATATTCACTAAATTTCATAACCAATTTCGTGATTAAATCTCATTTTTATCAAAAACCTAGGTTTTCCATCTAACTCATAAATTCCACAAGTTTACATGTCAAAATCTACCCATAATCAATATATTAAACTCACATAAGGTAGAAATTACTTACCCCAAATAACTAGGTTGAAATCCTACTTTTGAAGCTCCAAAATTGGCCAAGTGTGCAATAAATGGACCCAAATATGGCTAAGTCCCGATTTTTAAAACTCTCTGCTCAGCTGCCCCTTCTTCGTGAACGCGGAATAGGCCTCGCGTTCGCGAAGGCAATGGCCCAGGACCAGGAAATTTTACCCATTGCGAATGGGAAAGGAGCCTCGCGAACACGGAGGCTCGCTTAGCCTAGCCTACGCGAATGCAACGAATAATCAGCGGCCACCCAGCTCAGCCTCATCTACGCAAACGCATGCCAGGTCACGCGAATGCCAAGGCTAGAGGACCCAGACCTCCACGAACGCAGTCCAGCTCACGTGAACGCAAAGGCAAAAATCCCCCCCAGCCCATAGTATCCCAATCGTTCATCGCGAACGCGAGGGTCTGTCCGCGTTTGCTAAAAGGAACCGGAAAATTTGGTTCTTTTCAATTTAACTCTGGGCGGTTCGAAACATACCCGAGCCCATCGGGACCCTGTCCAACTACTCCAACACATCTATAAACATAATACAGACTTTCTCGAACTCTCAAAACGCGTTAAACAACAACAAAACCAAGAATCACACCCCAAAACCAAATAGGATCAAAATATGAACTTCACGTTTTGAAATTGCTCCGAAAGCGCCGAATCATACTTAGACTACTCGGAATGCCGCCAAATTTTGCGTACAAGTCTTAAATGATATTACAGAACTATTCCCGGTTTCGAAATTCCATTCGGCCCTTGATATCACCAAAACCTACTCCAAACCAAATTTAAAGAACTTAAAAACCTTCATAGAACCAATTTTCATTGTTAGGCGTCAAAACGCTCCCGGGTCATCCAAAACCTGATCCGAACATATGCCCAAGTCTGAAATCATCATATGAACCTATTAGAACCATCAAATCCTGATTCCGAGGTTGTTTTCTCAAAATATTGACCGAAGTCAACTTGACCTTTTTAGCCAACCTTAAGGAACCAAGTGTTCCGATTTCAAGTCATAAAACAGTAAAAAAAACGTACGAGAAATCTTATTTAGGGGAACATGGTTCTAGCAAGCAATACAAACGGTCAGGTTGTTACATTCTCCACCACTTAAAAAAATATTCGTCCTCGAACGGGTTTAGAATCATACTTGGAGTGTTGAATAAGTGTGGATATCTGCTCCGCATGTCCTCCTCAGGCTCCCAGGTCGCCTCCTCGACTGGTTGGCCCCTCTACTGAAACTTTACCATGGAAATCCTCTTGGATCTCAACTGGAAAATCTGTCTAGCAACAATGGAAACTGGCTCCTCCTCATAATCCAGGCTCTCATCTAACTGAATCGTGCTGAAGTCTAACACATGTGACAATTCGGCATGATACCTCCAGAGCATAGACACATGGAAAACTAGGTGAACTCCCGATAGACTGGGAGGTAAGGCAAGCTCATAAGCAACCTCCCCAACTCTTCTCAACACCTCAAATGGGCCTATAAACCTTTGGTTCAACTTGCCCTTCTTCCCAATTCTCATAATCCCCTTCATCAGCGAGACTTTCAAGAGAACTTTTTTGCCTACCATAAATGATAAATCACGAGCCTTCTGATCCGCGTAACTTTTTTGTCTGGATTGTACTGTGCAAAGTCGATCCTGAATCAACCTTACCTTTCCCAAGGCATCCTTCACCAAATCAGTACCAAATAACTTAGCCTCACCAGGCTAAAACCACCCAATGGGATAACTACATCACCGACCATATAAAGCCTCAAATAGAGCCATCTCGATGCTGGACTGATAACTGTTATTGTAAGCAAACTTGGTCAAAGGCAAAAATCAATCCCACTACCCTCTAAAGTCAATCACATATGCTCTAAGCATGTCCTCCAGGATCTGAACTGTCTACTCCGACTGCATGTCGGTCTATGGATGAAATGCGGTGCTAAGCTATACATGGGTCACCAATTCACTCTGTATGGCTCTCCATAAAAGAGAAGTAAACTGAGGGCCTCTATCTGATATGATAGAAATAGGCACACCATGTAACCGAACTATCTCTTGAATATAAATCTAGGCCAACCTCTCTGAAGTATACGTCGTCACAACTGGAATGAAGTGTGCCGACTTGGTCAACCTGTCGACAATGACCCAAACTGCATCAAACTTTTGCAAGGTCCGCGGCAACCCAACTATGAAGTCCATAGTAATGCATTCACATTTCCTTTCTGGTATAGTCATCTGCTGGGGTAGGCCACCTAGCCTCTGGTGCTCATACTTAACCTATTGGAAATTTAGGCACTTGGCTACATACTCAACTATATCTTTCTTCATCCGCCACCACCAGTAATGTTGTCTTAAGTCGCGATACATCTTCGTAGCACCTGGGTGAATGGAATACTGAGAACTATGTGCCTTCTCTATAATCCTCTCCCTTAAGCCATCGACATTAGGAACACATATACGACCCTGGAGTCACAGAACACCATCCTCGCTGATAGAAACCTCCTTGGCACCACCTTGTAGTATCGTGTCTTTGAGAACCATCAAATGCAGATCATCAAACTGTCGAGCCTTCATTTGCTCCAATAGTGAAGACTGGGCAACGACGCATGCAAGAACTCGGCTGGGCTCTGAAATGTCCAACTTCACAAGTCTATTAGCTAAGGACTGAATGTCCAAAGCTAATGGCCTCTCCTCTACTAAAATGAATTCCAAGCTACCCATACTCTCTGCCTTTCTTCTTAAGGCATCCGCAACCATATTCGCCTTGCCCAGATGATAAAGAATGGTGATGTCATAATCCTTCAGTAACTCAAGCTATCTGCGTTGCCTCAAATTAAGATCCTTTTGCTTGAACAAATGTTGCAAGCTGTGATGATTAGTGTAAACCTCATAGGACACCCCATAAAGATAATGTTTCCAGATCTTAAGAGCATGAATAATCGCGGTTAACTCTAGATCGTGTACAGGGTAATTCTTCTCATGGGTATTCAGCTGACATGAAG